GATGAGCCTGTCTAATAAAGTCTCAAAAGATAATACAATAATTTTCCGCTAATTAACAAATGGGAAACAACAAAGCTTACAAGTAAGATGTATTCAAATACTGCTGTGTAATAGAGGAAAAAATTTCAGAGTGGTTATAATAGCAACAAAAATTTTGTTGTTGTTGTTGTTTCTTATCCCACTTGGCTGGCCAAGCCCACGAGCCCATGATTGAAGGGGAAGGAAGCAGCTTCTGGCGTGATGGAGGTAGAAATCTGACTTTGGTTCCGTGAAGCTCTTACAGACATAGGAGACCGGGACCTACGGCTTAAAGTGGATTCCGAACCACTACAAACATCCATGGCACCACCGGGATTCGAACCTGAAACCTGTGGCACCGAGCGCCAGACACTTGGCCATTCAGGTCCCAAATTTGTGAATGCCAACAGCACACGGTGTTCCCAGGTGGTCACCCACCCAAGTACTGACCGCGCCCAATGATGCTTGACTTCGGTGATCTAACGAGAATCGCTATATATTCAGCATGGTATAGCCGTTGGCACAAAATTATTGTAATTGTTAGTAACTAAATTTTTAAATTACATAGTATCAAAATTAAAATATTTTGCAATAACTATTAAGCTCTTTTCTTTCAAAAATTGCTTGATGCAGCATCTTACTCATTAGCAAACCCTAATATATAATGAAATCTCCCACTTACGCTTTAAGACCGGATGTTTATTTTTGAAATGGATAGCTTGTAGAACACTAATCACTTTCTTCACTAAAAATAATTTCTTTTCACTGAGGTTGAAAACGAAGCAATAAATATCTACCATTATAATAAAATTTAGTCACTTTGGCAACATTACAAAGACTGATCCTCCAGTAAAAAGATACTCAGAAATATTACGACGACCTGAACAACCGGTAGAACAACATTCAATTTTCTCAATAGAATTCCTTGTTTTTTTCATTCAACCTTAAAATGAAGCACCAAACGATACGCATCATAATACTAAAATTATTTTACCAACATTATGTTGACAAAGTTAAGAAGACCGATTCTCCAGTTAACACAGACACTGAAAATGTTATTACAGTTGTTGAACAATTGGGAGAACAACAAACTCTTTCTTCACTAGAATTCATTTCCTTTTATTCAGGCTAAATTTGAATAGCCAAATGATCTACCATAGTAATAAATAACTTATTTTACAAACACCATGTTGGCAGCATTAAGAAGACTGATCCTCCAGTTAAAATGAGCGCTTAAAATTATCTTACGATTAATTGCAACATCTGGTAGATCATCAATCGTTTTCTTCACGAGAATTAATTTCGTTTGATACAGAATGTAATTGAAACACAAAATTATCTACCAACATAATAAATAAATTATTTTACAAACATCATGCTGGCAAGACCGATTCTCCAGTGAAAATATACACAATGATATTACGATTAACTGAACAGTTGGCAAAACAACAATCGTTTTCTAAGTACTAAACCATCTACATTCATAATAAACAAATTATTTTACGAACATCTTGTTGGCAACATTAAAATGACTGATCCTCCAGTGGAAACATACAAATATTACTATTAACTAAATAGCTGGTAGAACAGCAATCATTAGAATTCATATTCTTTCACTGAAGCAGAAAATGACGTATCAAACGATCCACCATCAGATTAAGTAAATTATTTTGCAAACACCATGTTGAAAACGTTAAGAAAACGACCTCTAGTGAAAACAGACACAGAAAAGATATTAAGGAATACAAAACCTGCACGTCGTATGAGGAAAACCCTCAGCAAGTGCTATGCTCCAGTCCATTAATCAACACAAAAAAGTATCGAAGGGCACCGCGGCCATCTGTAAATCAGTGCATTGGCGAAGAAAGCGATGCCATAATTCTCAAAGTAATGAGGAGGGCTGTAATATGCGGATTAAACAAGCCCGACCTTCACCCGTGTTTTATGAAGGGCCCCGCTAATGGAAGGGCGCACGCATAAATCTGGAGCCCCTCCGCCGCGTCGCCCTTCGCGACACAAATGTCCACGGCCGTTGATTTAGGGTCCTGCAGAGGAGTATCATTTAGGCCCCACTCCTTGATGGCCCCTGCTTTTGCCTGGAATGTTCCTGAGGTTAGCACAGAAGAATGAAAGCGATTTGAGCCATTGAAAGAAGCTACCTAGGGAACAGATTTGTGGGTGACAAGTTGGACTATATATTAAAAAAACTTATGCATTGAAACGAATCGATACAACTTTTAGTTTGCTTATGCAACTTTTAGATCACCCTATAGAATGTATACTATATTGTACGACAAATTTACTGCGCTTAAAGGTTTGGTTAGACGTGAATTGCCGAGTGACTAGTAGCGTTCTGGCGCTTGGTGCCACAGGTTTCGGGTTAAAATCCCGGCGGTGCCATGGGTGTTTGTAGTGGTTCGGAATCCACTTTAAGCCGTAGATCACTGTCTAATATGAGTGTTGTTCGTAGGGCTGACACACCTACCTGTAAAAAAGTCAGCATCTAGGAACCAAGTCAGACTTCCACCTACGGTTGCTCCATCACAACAGAAGCTGTCCCCTTTCGCTTTACCGATGAGTCCAAACGTGGTTCGTGGGTTTTTCTAGATGTCTACCTAGACGTATAAAAAACAACAACAACAAGGTTTGGTTTGTTGAACTGCGGTCATTTTTTGCACACTTTAGGCTAATTAAAGATTTTACAAGGGTTTATTTACAACAGTTATATTGAAATGTGTCCAGTGAAATCTTGTCACTGGATTAGTTACTCGGACAAATTGCTGATACTGGTGCTATTGTATAGATTCATTGTTAAGCTTATAAAAAATGTAGTTAGTAAAATTTCACTAAAATTGGACAGTGATTGTATTTAATAAAAATTCAAAGAATGTGAAAGGTTCTATTGAAAGAAACTAACAGAGTATGAAATTTGTAAATGGCAGGCTAGAAAAGATAGCCTTAAGAAAATTTAGGTTAAAGATACATTAAAATGCAGAGATAACAAATATATCTATGCAACTTTTATATCATTCGGAATGTACACTGAAGTGACAAAAGTCATGGGATACCTCTTAATATCGTGTCGGCCCTCCTTTCGCTCAGCGAAGTGCAGCAACTCGACGTGGCATGGACTCAACAAGTCGTTGGAAGTCTTCTGCAGGAATATTGAGCCATGCTGTCTCGATAGACGTCCATAATTGTGAAAGCGTTGATGGCGCAGGATTTTGGGCACGAACAGACCTCTCGATGATGTCCCATAAATGCTCGATGGGATTCATGTCGGGCGATCTAGGTGGCCAGATCATTCGTTGGAATTGTCCAGAATGTTCTTCAAACCAATAGCGAACAGTTGTGGCCCGGTGACATGGCGCATTGTCATCCATAAAAATCCCATCGTTGTTTGGGTACAGGAAGTCCATGAATGGCTGCAAGTGATCTCCAAGTAGATGAACATAAGCATTTCCAGTCAATGTTCGGTCCAGTCGCACCAGAGGACCAAGTCCATGCCATGAAAAAACAGCCCACACCATTACGGAGCCACCACCAGCTTGAACAGTGCCTTGCTGACAGTTTGGGTCCATGGCTTCGTGGGGTCTGCGCCACACTCGAACCCTACCATCAGCTCTTACCAACTGAAATCGTGACTCATCGGACCAGACCACGGTTTTCCATTCATCTAGGGACCAACCGATATGCTCACGTGCCCACGAGAGTCGCTACAAGCGATGTCGTTCTGTCAGTAAAGGCACTCGAGTCGATCTTCTGCTGGAATAGCCCAAGAAAGCCGAATTTCTCCCCACAGTTCTAACAGACAAGTCCCTTGTACGTCCCACTTTGATTTCTGCGGTTATTTGACGCAGTGTTGCTTGTCTGTTAGAATTTACGACTCTTTGCAGACGTCGCCTGTCTCAGTCGTTAAGTGCAGGCGGTCGACCACTGCGCTGTCCATGGTGGGATGTTATGCCTGAAATTTCATACTCTCGGCACACTCTTGACACAGTGGATCTGGGAATGTTGAATTCCCTAACGATTTCCGAAATGGCATGATCCATGCGTCTAGCTCCAACTAACATTCCGCGTTCAAAGTCTGTTAATTCCCGTCGTGCGGTCATCATCACGTCAAAACCTCTTCACATGAATAACTTGAACAGAAATGAAAGCACTGCTCATTTATACCTGTTCTACGCGATGCTACTGCCATCTGAAAATTTGCATATTGCTATCCCATGACTTTTGTCACTTCAGTGTATAACTAACTATACAAAAATTGCATATATTTATTTACAGTACTTACAAGGATTTATTTACAGAAGTTGTATTGAAATATGAGCAGTAATATTCTGTCACTATATTTGCTGCTCATTCATTCTCACCAATACTGGTGTTATTGTATAGATCCATTTTTATGCTTATTAAAAATGTATTTAGAAATTTTCTTATTGAAATTAGACAGTGATTGTATTTAATAAAAATTCAAAGAATGTGAAAAGTTCTATTGAAAGAAACTAACACAGTGTGTAAATGGCAAGCTAGAAAAGATTTTAAGAAAATTTAGGTTAAGGTTACATTAAAATGAAGAGATAACAAATATGCCTATGTAACTGTTAGATCACTCTGAATGTGTAACTTATGTACGGCAAATTGGATATATTTATTTACTGCTCTTACATTAGTTTATTTACTAATAAAAAAATATATAAACTAATATATAGAAACTAATAAAAATGAAGAAATATATATGTGTATAGAAATATGTATGTGTATCCTATGGCGCAGAATATTGTCTGTTATATATATATATATATATATTGTATTAGTTTCTAGTACTGATAAATAAATAACGATATTATAAAGTGTTTCTATATAATTAGTGAAGATGAAAAGATGAAAAGACATATATGACCCATAAAATTTCATAAACTTTTCCTAAGAGATTTATTACTGAAAAACTAACATGCTCCCTAACAAATAAAGTTTTATCCTAAATTTTACGTTCATTGCATATTGTATTCAAAATTTTTCACACTGCGCAGAATATTATCTGTTATATTATTATATTTACGTTTTGTTATTCTATTATGTGTTATGATTTCGCGTGATGGTAAATAAATAATAATATTATAAATTCGTTCAATGTAATTTTGAAATCCATTAAATGTAATAAAAAAAAGGAGGAGACATATATGACTAAAGATATTCCTTTATTTTAAATTGATTGATTGATTGATCCTTTTATTTTAAATTGATACATAAGCAGGTTCTTTTAATACTTTATAAGTGATACTGAAACGATTATAAATGAATACCGGTGGAGAACGGATAAATGATTTTTTTCCTATTATTGTCTGACATAGTGATGGAGTGCCCATCTCCTTGCTAATAAGTGAACGCCTTGTCGCTCCTCTAACAAAATCACGACGCAAGTGATATAGCCCCGTAGCCCCACAGTCAAACGTGGTAAATAAATAATAATGTTCTATAACTAATAAAAGTGAAGAGACATATATATCCCATGAAAT